ATGCACTTCATTGATGTGTTTTGTAGACAATACTCTTTACAAGTTTATATAGTTGACTTCTATTCGCTGTTGTGTCTTGGGCGGGTAATTTGAATTTCTCCACTCTGTTCAACTCTGAATTCATATATCCTTTGTTAGCATATGATCTATCTTAATGGATTTCTTAACTTACTCATGAGTTTTATTCTAATTTGATCTGTCTAGCGATAGACATATGGGCATGGGAACTCAAAGAAACGTGTTTGATCATATTTGAGTCAAATCGACTGGTGGTTAATTCAAGTAAGAATCGTTAACGCCTAGGTCCTAATACCATGGTGTTGTTTAAAGCACAATAAATTACCATTTGGAATACTATATATATATATATATATATATATATATATATATATATATATATATATATATATATATATATATATATATATATATAAGTAGTAGTATGTATCCCTTGGGTTCCTAGTGTAACGTAGGGCTTCAAGAGCACGTCACCATTTCACTCTCTTCTCTGCAATCTTTTTAACCGGGCTCCACGACTACCCATAATGCTTTCATTTCTTCATCATATGATCTCCTGCATGTCACCATCGACTCGGACGCCCAACTTGTCGTTCCCTATTGGGGTTGCACTCGATAGCCTGACTTGGCGCATGATGTCCCCAATCGATCTTTTCAGTGTATGTCCAATCCAATCCATCTCCACTGTCTTATTGTCTATTTTTTCTTTTCTAGGAGGAAATTATAATAGCCAACTTGGATTTTAGTGAATTAAAACGAGTTCGTGAAAGTATTCCTATCGGTAGACAACGACGTCTAGATGTATACAGTATTCCAAAAATAACTAAACGACAATAAAATTATCATCAAATCAATTTTCGTCTTGAAGAGATAAACTATTCAACTGGTATGTTATTGTTTAAAAAAAACGATATGAATATCCAGATTGTGTATTAATTAAATTTCAACGGATATCTTACTATAATCTTTTTCTATATAGTTACCAATCTTATCATCATACAAATTGAGATGATTTTGATAACTGATCAACACTTTTACTATTCTGACACTTAGACTTTTGTGAATATTCTTTTATTATTTTTTGTGTGTGTGTGTGTGTGTATAATTTGATTATAATATACTGATTTTCAAGATGTTGATAACCTACATATTCTCCCGGATTACTTAATGATAATGGTGAGTGAAGAATTGACCTATGGAATTGCTCATTAATGTTTAGGCAATCGATTTTAAACCAGTGGATCATGGTTCCCGGATCTGCTTCACTCTACCGAGGTCTGCACGACTAGGAAGGATCAATAATGTTCATAAAACATGTATGGCTCATTGTTTATTGTAGAAAAAATAACTTGGTTACTTGAGTGTATTTCGATTTAAGAATAGTTATTGTTTGAGCGGGTTGTAGGGATTTAGACATATTTCAAGTTGATATTCATCTACAATGAATACCCGAAGTTTCAATGAGAAGTTGTGACCAGTGGAGCTAGCCTGATGGTCGTTAGAAATTGAACCATTGGATTCCCACCCAGTAGCTGAATGGTAACGTGCTGGCCAGGGAACCTAGGTCGCGGTTCGATCCCTGGTGGTGTCGTGGGTGCGCACTGCTGAGGAGTCCCATACTAGGAGGAAACAGCTGTCCAGTGCTTCTAGGTTTCCGTTATTCCTCCAACTAATATCAGTCTACGATGAATACCAACTTGAAAGTGATGAATTGATTTATGAACTTCAGGATTCGTCTACATCGGTACCCCGTATGACAGTACAGAGTGCATTGACCTAATGTATCACAATCACTACTTGTCGGTTGATGATCTTCGAAAACAACTTGATTTTTATTTACCTTGGAAGTTTTAAAGTGATGAAAAAGGTTTGATTGGCTTTCACCATTTGAGCTAGTAGTATGAGATAGCCGAATGTGTATCCGAAGTCGAAAGTATTGCAGAGTACAAAACTCTGTCCTATTCAATGGTTGAGAGTATGGAAATTGAAAATGGACAATTTGAAGAGACTGGATATTTTTGACCACATGTATCTTTTTAAGATTGTTGTCGTAAGGTGAAGTTACCGTGTGAGATATTTCTAGGTTAGGTGAAGGGTACTACAGAAGAAAAGCAGAGTCAGTCGATGAGGTTGTGAAACTTCAGCGACTGAGGTGTTACGCATACGGAGCCACTACATGTCTTCGGTCAACAGAAAAGAGATGGGTTAGACGTTCCACACATATGGCAAGTGTTATTGACTCGCCTAGGCAGTTGTAAATGATATATGAAGAGAAGGTAGAACATAATTATTTCATTCCACATGATTTATTCCCAATTCACTCTTACTTGAATAGTTTCCGGTGTTATTTCACTTAATCATCTTAATCACGTGAAAAATGTATTGGGTGTATTTTAACAACTTGTCTATTCCATTACATAACACTTTATTTTCATCAATTTTACTCTCTCCTATGAATCATTATATATATTACATAATCCATTTTATTATCACCATACATCAACTGTTATCAAAAGTACCATTATCATTATTTATTCATTATATATTGGTTGATGTTCAAATATTCATCCTTCCAAACTAATCTACTCACAACCCCATTGTACTTTTCATAGTCGAACTAAATCCCCCCCCCCCCGTTTCCCTATTTTTGTTCCACTTTAGTCGTAGCATTGATAAATGCCTCTCTGACCAATTTGTTTATTCACTCACCCATATTACATTGATCTTTCCTCCATATCACGATGTAATTGTATGATTTTAAAGGTCACCGTCACTTTCTGTACCAAAACTTGAAAATGGATTTTTCTAGTAACATTGAAATGTTGAGGAATAATATGAAATATTTGTTTATTTTATTGCCTGTTCTAATATACTAAGCCGGGGGGGGGGGGGGGAGGGGAGTTACACACAAATAAAAATATACGGTGGTTAAGTGCATTTCGATTAGAGTATCAATGCTTTACTGATACTGGTTAACTAGTTCACTAGTTACTAGCCGGTCCTAAGCCCTCGAAAAGAGGGAAGGTTGGGCATAGGGCTAGCAACCCTACCCCGGAAAACAAATCTAACCGATAAACAAACTTCAAAGCACAAAGGAAATACAAAAAATTAAAACAAACTTATTCCTCACTGAAATCGGAGAGGCGAAATGACGCCAGTTGGTGAAAGCCTTCGGGAAGCCAATTGGCCGATATGTCTTCTCTCGATGAAAGCAAAAGTAAACGTGGGGACATGGAATGTCCGTACGATGTTTGAACCCAGCAAGGCAGCCCCTGCATCATCCTGGAGAGGCTTAAGGATGCACTGGATTCAAAACTACGACCGGAACAGGCAGGCTCGCTGGCTGGATTCAGGAAGTACAAATCATGTGCAGACCAAATTGCAACGCCACTCTATGCATCATCATAGAACAGAGCATAGAATGGCAATCAGCTCTCTACCTCAACTTCATCGACTTTGAGAAGGCCTTTGACAGCGTCGACCGACAAGTAATTTGGAAACTGCTTCATTACTACGGAGTACCGTAAACCTTTATCCGCCTCATTCAACAACTATATGAAGATGCCACATGCCAAGTTATTCACAATGGGAAGCTCAGTGATGCTTTGAAGTGAAGACAGGGACAGGAGTGAAACAAGGTTGCCTACTGTCCCCCATGATATTCCTGATTGTGGTCGACTGGATCATGCAGCAAACAGTAGGCAGCGAGAAGAGGGGGATACGCTGGCTGGACTGCGGAAAACAACCTAGAAGACTTGGATTTCGCCAACGATGACTTGTGCCTGATGTCACATAAACTTGAAGATCTGCAGGCAAAAACTAACAAGTTGATAGAAGAGGCAGCGAAGACGGGACTTCAGTGAATATAGAGAAGACAGAAGTGATGAAGATACCACACCAACAACAACAACAAACTCCAATCACCATCAACGGGAGAAACTTAAAGGAAGTAACCTCCTTCACTTATCTAGGAAGCACTGTTTCAACTACAGGCAGCACAGGCACAGACGAGGATGTCAAAGCCAGTCAGAATCGGAAAAGCAAGACAGGCGTTCATTAGCCTGAAACCAGTGTGGAGATCTTCTGCACTCAGCATGTGGAACAAGATATGGATTTTCAACACCAATCCAGTCAAGTCAGTGCTTCTGTATGGCTCAGAGACTTGGCGCTTTACGAAAGGCATTTCCAATAAACTACAGACATTCATCAACAACTGCTTACGCTGGCTCGCTACTGAAGATCAGATGGATCGCCAGAAAGAATAAGCAACAAGGAGCTCTGGGAACGAACCAACCAAGAACCTATGACCCAACAAATATGCAGGAGGAAGTGGAGATGGATTGGGCATGCACTGAGAAGGCCGACTGGGGACATCACGCGTCAGGCCAGGCACTCGAGTGGAATCCCCATGGGAAGCGATGAGTTAGACGTCCAAGGGTGACATGTAGGAGATCGTGCGAGGAAGAAATGCGAGCTTGTGGGCTGTCGTGGAACCAGGTTCAAAAGATTTCAGAGAACAGAGGTCACTGGAGACGTGCTAGTGAAGCCCTATGTTCCACTAGGAACCCAAGGGACTAATAATAATAATAATAATACTCCAATTCAGAACTCATTCTCTCCCACAATATCATCTTAAACTATTATTCAAATCATCATCATCTGCTCTAATAATTTCAGTCCATCTTTTTTCTTTTTTTTGTAGTTATTGCTCTAGAATTCGAAGAAAAATAATTCAATTCAGGCGCTAAAAAGAAATACAATCAATGAATATTGGATATTTCTTCATAAAATCATCAGCATTATTGATACCACTCTTCATATTTATGATTGTTATAAAAAGTAAAAACATGGACTATCACAAAATAACAAATAATAATAGTATTCAATATTCATTTGGATTATTTGTTTTAATATAAACAAAGCGGGTAATTTAAATTCACTAAAATGTATTTTTTTTAAAAACCAATCTGTTTATTTACACATCATTTGAATAAAGAAAAAAATTCATATCTACTTGAATCTGTCAATTTCATAGCAACACATAAGCCAAGAATTAACAAAGCCATATAACTTGTATAAATTGCCTAAAAATAAGGAGAGAGGGTAAGAAATTGGATATGATCATCTAAGGCAAATATCAAGAATGAAAATACCCTTCAGAAAAAAAAGAAAAACAGCCTTCAACTTATACATACTTGATAGATTATGTAGTGTCTAGCGATAAAATTCAGCACGAGTGTTTCGTACAACATAGGGCTCACCAGTTGCATATGCTTGTATACCTGAAAGTGAATGATGGTCTTCCAATTTAAGACCATAGAATAATACCTACCATTTCAATCTTACAAAGTTAACCGCTAGACTAATGAAGTATGACAGACACTTCTTTTGTAACGAGCATCACTTATCTTTATTTACTGATATCTGTAATTATTTCAAGTTGTTATTCATCGTAGACTGACATCAGTTGGAGGAACAACGGAAACATGGGAGCACTGGACAGCTGTTTCGTCCTAGTATAGGACTCTTCAGCAGTGCGCACCCACGACCCAGCCCCACCAGGGATCGAACCCGCGACCTTCAGGTTCCGCGACCAGCGCGTTATCATTGAGCCACTGGGTCACAATCCAATGCTCCATATTTCCAACTTCTGTTAGCTCACGATATATAGCGCAACCGCCACCCAATGTCATCGTTGAGTATTTGTCCTCACGGCCATCAGGCTTTGACTCCACCGGTCACGACTGGTGCTCATTAGTGACTAGCTTCGAGAAGTATTCCCGAAGTTCCAATGACAAGTCGTGACCGGTGGAGTCAAAGCCTGATGGCCGTGAGGACAAATACTCAACGATGACATTGGGTGGCGGTTTGCGCTATATCATGAGCTAACAGAAGTTGGAAATATGGAGCAATGGATTGTGACCCAGTGGCTCAATGGTAACGCGCTGGTCGCGGAACCTGAAGGTCGCGGGTTCGATCCCTGGTGGGGCTGGGTCGTGGGTGCGCACTGCTGAGGAGTCCCATACCAGGACGGAACAGCTGTCCAGTGCTCCCATGTTTCCATTGTTCCTCCAACTGATGTCAGTCTACGATGAATAACAACTTGGAATAATTCCAAATCTCCACAACTCCCTCAAAACTTAATTGATATCTGTAAATCATCGTTGTTATACTGAGTCGAATGTCTTCACCTCTGATGGTAGATGAACCACTTGTACTAGAACCTCAACACTACCTGAATATTTATTATGTTGCAGTTTGCTTTAGCGCTGACCACGGAACCCGAAGGTCACGGGTTCGATCCCCGACGGGGTCGTGGGTGCGCACTGCTGAGCAGTCCCATACTAGGACGAAACAGCTGTCCAGTGCTCCCAGATTTCCTTTGTTCCTCCAACTGATGTCAGCCTACGATGAATAACAACTTGAAAATCCTTAAATCTCAAATTTCCACTTTATATGAACCTTCGTTTTAAAATCATCCTAAGGACATAGTCCTCTTCGTACACTTCACAGGAATAATACACCTATAGCATATTGTACTCAACAACATTTAACTAACCAATTTGCCATTATTTCTCAAGGAACTCTTCAGTGTTAACCCACTCCATTCATTATCTTTCGACAAAAAGTTATTTGTTTTTTCATTCAGTATATCATGTGTATTGCGTATTAACTGAGGTAAAGATGTGAAATTCAACTCCTTTTCTTCCTTCTCTTTCAATATATCTTTTTTTGTTGAATATGCTTCATCAGAAGAAGAATAACTTGGAAAGACGATAGAATCAAATGGTCCAGGATTGATAATTATACCACGCATGAAGAATTTATCGCATTCCTCTATACGAACCAGCACTATGCGACCGTATACATTTGGATCTTTTGGTAATAAAATCTGTAAGAATAAAGTTAAATAAAAGAAATGTAGGGAATTCAGAAGGTGAAATATCTTATACAGGTGTTAACTACTGTTATCATCACCATTATCAGTAGTATTAGTAGTAGAAGTATGTATAATATGTTATCAATTAATGAAGACAGAAGCCAAGTTACCATAGTCAACATCAAAATGAAAGCTGATATGATTGCGTAACGGTCAAAGTTGTCACATTCTGCATCAGGATGAATAATTTAGAGATAAGAAAGAAAGCTGATAAAAGTTATAGAAATTTATGAGAAGAAAGGATATAACGATACCGGTGTATTCAGTATGATGATTAGGCTCAGGATAATGTGTGAATTGATCTGGATCACTGAAATCGATTCTAAGCTTCAACACTATGGAGTACCACAAATCTTTATCAACCTCATTCAACGCCACATGCCAAATAATTCACAATGGAGAGCTCAGTGATGCCTTTGAATTGAAGACAGGAGTAAGACAAGACTGTCTACTATCTATAACAGATGATCTTCTTGACTGTGGTCGACTCGATTAGATTGGATCATGAAACAAACTGTGAATAGCGAGAAGGGGGGCATACGCTAGCTGAACAAATGAAAAGACCCCAGAAAAAGATCTCGATTTCGCCAATGATGATTTATGTCTTATGTCACACAAAGTCTAAGATCTACAGGTGAAAACCAACAAGTTGACAGCGAAGATGGGACTTCAAGTGGACGTAGAGAAGACAGAGGTGATGAAGTTACTCAACCAGCAACAACAAGCACCATCAACCGGAGAAACCTAAAGGAAGTTGTCTCTTTCACCTACCTAGGCAACATCGTTTCAACTACAGGTGGCACAGATGAGGATGTCAAAGCTAGGATAGGGAAAGCAATACAGGCCTTCATCAATCTGAAACCAGTGTGGAGATCTACTGTACTCAGCATAAAGCGTGAACAAGATCCGGATTTTCAACACTAATGTCAGTCAACTCAGTCAGTACTTCTACGTGATGGTTCAGAGACTTGGCGACCCGTTACGAAAAGCATTTCGAAGAAACTATAGATATACATCATCAACAGCTGCCGCTCACGCTCAATCGATACTGAAGATCAGATGACCAGAAGGAATAAACAACAAAGAACTCCGGGAACAAACCAACCGAGAACCCATCGCCCAATATATATGCAGAAGAAAGTGGAGATGGATTGGATTGGACATACACTGAGAAGATCATTTGGGGATATCACGCACCAGGCGAGGCCTTAGTGTGGAAGCCAAATGGGAAACGACGAGTTTAGCGTTCGAATGTGACATGGAGGAGATCGTGTGAGGAAGAAATGAAAGCTTCTGGGCAGTCGTGTAGCCAGGTTGAAAAGACTACAGAGAAGGGAGTGAAATGGCAACGTGCCACTAGTTTTTTGTTTCACTAAGAACCTATAGGACAGATAATAAAAAAAGTAATATGATATTATCGACTGGGATCTATTCAACTTAGTGATGAGTTGAAGGCCGCAATTCCCATGACCAAGAGATATGCCAAACCAAATAACAAAGTAACATTATTAAGATACAGAAAATGAAAGACAGAATGTAGACAAAAATAGAAATTGGTTTTTTAAGGAAGCGGTCTCAAAGTAGCATTCACTACTCTTGGTTTACTTTACAGTAATAAGGAAAACAAAACAATTTCAGTATAAACGTCATTGTTCTCTATTATCATCTAAAGCTATTGATCTCTTGCACCCAAAGTCGTGAGTTACGAACAGATTCTAACCCAATACAAGTATCGAATGTACAACAGCCCCATATTATACACTGACCAGTTCTATATACTTTTCCTAAGGAAACTCACTGTAGGTATATATATATATATATATATATATATATATATATATATATATATATATATATATATATATATATATATACAACCATTTGACTACTTGAGATAGTCGTAGTTTGGCAGACTAGTATTGATACTGGGTGATGGTTGAAGGTGAGATGAAGGTTTGAACCGCGGTCGGATTCGAACCAGTGACCATAGGGTTACCGGCCCGGTGCTCTATCAACTGAGCTACGAGATCCGACTGCTGATCAGACTGTTATATTTTCTTCAATTACAAGCGGCGTTTTGCCCGACTACCATTTAGATTCTTGACGGGCTACTACTGCTTGATCGTATTCACACTGGTTATCTAGTCGGGACTTCTCATCCTAATCCAAATCTAACTGAATTAGAGAGGAGGAGCATCGTATTGATTATCATTTGACTATCTGAGATAGCCCATGTTGGTTGAAGTGAAATAAGAAACTGGTCAATAATCCGACCCTGTAGCTCAGTTGGTAGAGCAACGGGCCGGTAACTCGGTGGTAGCTGGTCCGAATCCGGTAGTGGTCTAGATTTTCACCTCACATTCAATTATTACCCAGCATCAATACTAGTCTGGCAAACTACGGCTATCTCAGATAGCCAAATATAATGATTATTTGACCCTTCGTAAACATACGCATACACGCACATTCGTATCTCAATAAGTGTTTATAAATGAATCATTCTCTTTAGATTTTATCTTCTCCTCATTTCGTAATTGTTCTGTCAGTATTGATTTCATTGCACAACTAACACATTAGACTGATAACCATTCCACCATACCATTCGATTTGATCTTCATTCACCCATAACACTGATCGCTTCAAAACTGTACATCATGCCTTATTTCAGCTATTGTATTTCACTTATTCTCATGACTACGAAACATGCTCATTGAGTCATAGAGAAGAGATAATTCAGCGAAGAAAATTTTCTCTTTCGACGATATCATTTCTAAAGCTGTACAATAGTATTCATGTATATATCATAAACATATAAAACAGTAGTCTATTATAAAACAATAAGGTATAATTACATCATTAACCTAATGCTAAAAAACCGGATCAACAATGCAAAGTAGTTGTGTAATAAACTAAGACAGTAGAAATATCGAGCAAGGCAAGGAGTTTGACAGGGTGAAAATTGTTAGTAGATAAGACATGCGAATATTGAGTATCCACTTGATAGATAGATAGATAGATGTAAAGAAGGTGAAGAATGAGACAAGGGTCATAATGAAGGTGATAATAACAGTAAACTAATTAATTATAATGAAATCGATGAAGATCTGTGGAAGTGTTAAGACCATGGTAAGATGAGAGATTGAACATACTTCTTTTGCACGCAGAGAACAGGCTTGAATTGATGAATTGCCAATGCCTCCACTGTGCACAACTGTCGAAGGTGTACTCCTTTTGAACTATTCCATCTGACACGATAAATGACACTGAAGTAAGATTCTAGTCCAGCTTTATGTCTAGAGTTGACCAAATATTCAAGAATTGAACTGTTAATTGATTTACATTCTCCCTTCGACTACCATGCAGGATAGTGCTCCGAGATGCATTTGGAAAGCGTGCGCTTTGTGTGGCATATATAGCTAGCTCCACAGGAGCAAGTAAATTTGTAAACACACGCTGAGGTGGCTCAAAGTGGCAACTTGTCCTTAACGCACTCCGGAATGAGATGTTGACTAGAGAAGCTGATCTGCAGTTTTGCAGAGAACAATGTCTTCTTCAGTGATCTGAACAGCCAATTCTTCAGGATCTCTGCTGCCGTATCACCTTTGAAAACAAAGTCTTCTCAGGAACTGTGAGTACTCGCTCCGTATTCTGATTTACTTTCAAGTTCCTATCGATAAATCTGGATGGATATCCATTTTGCATGAGAATCTTCCGTAGTTTATCTAATTCTTCGTCAATAGTATCACTCATACAGATTCCTTGGATTGTTTAAGATAAAGAATGGAATGGATTCCTTTTACTGCTGACAGGCATCCAGCTGTGGAATTTATTTATATAACTGTAGAGCCTGAAGACGAAGAAGTTATTGAAAATAATTGTTCACTCAAATTATTCTTGTTCTGAATAATCTATGAGGATCTTTACATTATTTAACTCTATGATTGTTGGTTTGAAGATATTTTGTTGAAGGCTGTTGATGACAGTTGAAAATCAGTTACAATGACACAAATATACACATCATTTGTTATCAATGAAGTCTTAAGCATTTTCAATAATCTTATATTTATTCATTATCTCTTATCATTTCATACACCTTTGTACATACATTAATATCATTACTGTTTCATTCTGTTTGTTGTTTTGTGCACTGCTGAACTTATATACTTATGTGCCAAATTATATATCACCTTTTATCTGGTTCACACCATAGGTAGATACACAAAAGCAATGATAATTCACCGAAATTTAACAAACACTAGGAATTAAAATTTAAATTGAGCGGGAAATTTTAAAAAGTCAATTATCTGAAGAAAATATACATTAAAACAAATGGTTCACAAAAAAGACGATATACATACTTAATGTCACATACTTGTTCATAAGCTTTTGTATGACCAACCCAAAATTTACCATCAAAACTAGGCTCAGTGATAAGAGCATGAACTTCACAGCCAACACGACCATTATATGTTTGATAACTGCGAAATAAATCATGCAGTCTACGAGTACGACGTTTCACCTCAGCTGTATTCGCTTTTCTAGAAGTGAATAAAAATGAGAAGATAAGGAATTAATAAAGATTATGCAGTTAAAAAGAATTGCTATCTATCTGATAAAAATGGATTATGAAGTATTTAGAAGTAGTATTCATCATGGACTGACATCAGTTGGGGAACCATTGAAAATCTGGGAGTACTGGATAGCTGTCTCGTCCTAGTATGGGATATCAGGAAGCGCTAATAAGAAGCCATGACCTGTGGGGTCAACTAGTCGGAAGTGAAGTGGATGCTAACTGTAGACCTTGGGTGATAGTCACGCTATGTCATGAATGACAGAAGTTGGAAATTTGAACCACTGGAAACCGACTCAGTGGCTGAATAGTTAACGTATTCGCTGTGAAACCTGAAGGTCCTAAGTTCGGTCTCTCGAGGAGTCGTAGGTGCGTACTGTTGAGGAGTCCCGTACTAGGACGAAACAGCTATCCAGTGATCCCAGGTTTCCATTGGTTCCCCAACTGATATCAGTCCATGACGAATACTACTTCTAAATTAAAAATCCTCATTCACCTCTAAAATGCATTATGAAGTATTTTTTTTAAAAAATAAATTGAAACGTTTAAGAACGACCAATCAGATGCTGTACATCAAGGTCATTCATTTGTGTCCGTCTACCATTTTGTTAACACTGGATAAGCAATCATGTACTTATGATGAAGACTAATTTGTCCGTTATCCAAGAGACTTGGATTGTTTGTGAGAGGTTTAGATTGTGAATGTGGTTTTATAAAATGGATTGTTTACTTAACCAATAAGAAAAGAGATGATTTCATCTTTCATTATCCCCACTACTACAAGAAGAAATTTTTGAGAATAGGATTGTCTTTCAAAACATCTCATCTAACTCTTCAGTAAATAATAATTTTAATACTAAACTGGATTGTTGGAAAATCATTAATATCAGTAAAGGTTTTGACAGATGTTAATGAAGTCTCTTCAATTACAGTGGAATCAGCATTGTAAAGATATATGATGTGCAATAATCGGCAATTGGATGTAAAGCTTGATGGAGTAGGTAAATATCATAGAAATATATGAATATTCTGTTCTCAAATGTAAACATAACGAATAAGGAGGATTGAAAGTGTAAATAAGAAGACATTTTAAATCTAAGTCAATGGGGTTACAGTTTCATGAATACCATAATCCACAGCATTTTATTCATAATTTGATCCACCTATATCGAGATATTATACGTCTTTTGAAAGATAATGTTTCAAATATCAATCTGATATTATGAGACCCATCGATTGGATGTATTGACACGTCCCCAATAATATTTGAAACCAGGACCAAGAATCCCAAACAGCCATATCACCAAGAGTCAGTCCTCAACCATTGATTCCTTTCGTCTCGAGGACTCTAACCAGGCAATGTGTATTGCTCAAAATGGCTTAGACCAACAGTAGGTGACCTCCATCGACTGGTGCCAGGTCTTGTCTGACGACCATTCAAACACTAATGATCTCAAAGAAGAAAGATAACATTGACATTCTATTCATAGACTCTTTAATGTTTATATATTGTACTTACCTTCCGGTATGATAGCGTCGATGCTAAATTCCTTGAATCACAAACTATCTTACTGACTAGCCCATTTAGGTTGATGCAACTCTCCAAGTAATGGTAGTGGTCGACACATTCCACCAATCCACTCCTTATCATCTAATCTGGGAGTGGTTGCAGACCAGTCTTAGAACATGAGCTTACAACATTTGACAGGTGTTAGAGAAATGGATGCCAAATATACTCAGATTTCTGTTCAATGCGTCCAGAAGACTTGGCATATTGTCAACATCTTCACCTAGAAGGATAATATCATTTGCATACTGCAAGTCAAACAGATAACCTCTCCAATGAGAAGGTCAGTTTCTTGTAAAGTTAGATGTATCTAAGGTTATCTCCGCTAGTACGTCTATGATTATGTTAAATAGGAACGGTGATAGTAAACATCTCGGACAGATTAGTCTACAAAATCACAATTCATTAACCATTAACTTTGTTATCTAATCAAAAGGTTTTTCACTCTGAACAAGAAAAAGAAAAATATAACAGAATAGAAACAATTTCACTTACCTAGGCATATTAGCAGCAGGTGTACCAGGACGTGCAAAGAATTGATTAATATGAAGTACAGGAAATTGGTATTTTTCAATTAATTCTACAGTCTGATTGAAATCATCATCAGTTTCATTCGGAAAACCACAGATAATATCTGTAGCGATTGTTATCCTTCCACAACCATTTGGCATATCATTATTGGATACACTAGGCGGTCTATAACAATAGTAATATATAGAAGAAATGTATTTCCTTTTAGAATGTTGAATACAAACTAATTGGATATTCTCTACACAAAAATAATATATTACTTGAACAAGTAATGAATAGTGAAATTTTGTTTATATGCATCAATGAATTCATTGTACAATATTATGTTCAATTAAAATGTACATGTGAACAAATTAAAAAAATTGAAGGGTAGAACAAGTGTATTTCAGTGATTTCATTTTCAAAGTTGTACAATTGCAGATTTATACATTTTCTTTTTCACTTTCTTCATGTAGAGCTAACAAGAACAACAGCTAATAGAAGGTTAAGCAGGTCAATTTGCAGAGAAAACTAATGTGAAATGGTCAATTGATGAAGTTTAATAGCTGGGTAGCTCTATAAGTAGTAAGCGAAATCTGATCATATCTCTTACCAATCGCATTAGATGAATCTGAAGTCCCGATGTATTAGAAGAAGAAATTTTCATTCTGAAGAACATCTCAATTGAAAACAAATTCCCATTACGCTTCATAGACAAACACATCAATTCTAGACCTCGTAAACAGAACCTTACCACTGTGCCGAAAAACATACTCTATATGAATTTCAACTTCAAAAGTGATTCTGCCGCTGACACTCTATAAAGAGGATATCAGGCGCTCTAAGGAGAACACTCGTCACCAACTGATTTCTAACAACTCACTGTGTGCTACACCAGATAAACTTATTCAATATGGAATATCACTCTACTAGTGTCTAGATGTTACTTTTACGTTGGAATTGCTCCATATTTCAAATAGGCAGAGATTTTTACTAATATAGCCAACATATATATGCTTTGTAATTAATTTTTATATCTTTTGATCGGGTCGATGGTTAGTGTATGTAGATAATGGACCGCATCTGCCGAGTCACCACCTACCTTGAAGTGTCATGGTAGAGGAAATAGGATTAGGTTAAAAGAAGGTTCAGGGTGGCCAGACCAAGACCTGACATCAGTCGATCAAGTCTTTCACTGCTGCTCCGAATCACGTGTCGAGATGTAGACTACCTCATTGGAGTCCTCGAGACAATAGGAATCAATGGTTGAGAAATGACTCTTCGTGGCTGAAAATCAGTCACAATATGGCAGATGTATTTACTTCACGACATCTTCTAAAGCTTGAATATTCTCATCAGCCGTTATCTTTAGATCGTTTATTGTCTCACACGACTTTGTCTTCTTTGATATCAGTCTTTTTCTGTTCACCTGTTCTTTTTATACTACTGTGAAGTATGGCAACTTGAGGTGATGCACTTGTGCTCGAGGTTCTACGTTGATTTCGTCAGTCTGTCAGTCAATGTATACAGGAAACTGTTGTTATACCGGTACTTCAATAACTATACAAAATCTTATCCAATTCACAAAATTACCGATACAGATCTAAGACTGCCATGTGATTAGGACTGTTTATATGCCTCGGGATCACACTTTAGCTGGACTTGTCACCGATATATGTTCTACGCCTAAATCACCTACTGAACTGAACATAAAACTAGATAGGTGCAACCCATTTTACTAGCAGTTTCTCTTTCCCTTTCGTCTGTAAATTCAGGTAACAAATAGACTTTTACTTAGTCACTTAACATCAGAAACACTTTAGAAGCTCAACAGCGGTTGACATGAGAGCTAAAATCAATATTTCCTTCTTAAATTGAAAAAAACTAACAAACATTCCAAGAATAGTACCCTTCTAGCCTACTTGTAGTTGTGGATCAGTGGTTAAGGGAGATCACCTTCAGCCATTGGATCACGGGTTCGAACCCCGATCCACCCACCGAGGGTTGGGGAGCCAGAGAGGATCATCGATGGCCCTCATACAATAGCTGTGCCTAACTGTTTATTACACGAATGTGCATACGGTAGCTAAGTATGCTTTAAACCCTTCTCCTTTCATAGCCAAAAGCAAAACCGATTATCGGAACACCAACAAGCCTGACAGACGTGTATCAATAACAACACAAAGTGAAAATTACTAAGGTAATACACACTTAGTATCAAACATCAACGGTTCGAAACCTAACTACCTATCTTTACCACTATCTCCGGATACAGATAGCATTACAATTTCGTACACGGTAGGTGTACACGTAATATGGCATGTCGTTGGTGATAGCCGACAAGTATATCCCTCAATCCATACATCAAAATCAACATAGGACCAGACATTACTACGTAACGGTTTCAGTTGCTATAACTCATATTAATCAGTACATCAAGTAAAAAGGCAGTGAACTGCAAGATGAAGATAAGAAATATAAAGTACTCAAACACAGAAAGGAAGAATGACAAAATCGTCAGCTTCAATATAGCATCGTTAACATGACTACAATGTGTGTATACATCTCCACCACTCACATCGGTTATCAGCCATGCCATCACCTACACTCTCCAATCACTGGTTTCTCTTCTACCGTGGACCACCAACTACCCAGTCTGCATCACCCCGTATGGCTCAAACCAACAGTAAAACTACTTCATACATCGATTGATCTTACGTTCTACTATGGACACCTCGGGTCTTTTCCCAGCCTCAACCTACTTCAACCAACATTGTGTGACGACGGAAACGGAAACTCTCCATCTCATCAGTGTCTTCACCTAACAGGACTATGTCATCTGCGTATTCTACGTCTAACGAAAATTCTTCCACAATTACGTCAACATCCGTGTATTCACTTGACGAAAGACACACCTCCATAAGAATATCCATGATAAAATTGAATAAGAATGGAGACAGTGGGCACCATTAACGCACACCATTCAACGAGTACAGCTCCCCAGACATCTCACCATACCATCTAACACGTCCACAAGTCTTCGAGTAGATAGCCCTCAATAAGGTGATGTACTTACTCATCACTCCTTTCAGTGAGAGACATTGCCACAAAACTTCTTCATCAACGAAGTCGAATGCGGCCGCCTTCAAGTCGAGAAATACAGCTAGTGTCGGGTATCTGTAAGCGTGTGTATGTTCTAGAACGTGGGGCAGTGTGAATATTTGGTCGATACATCCGTGGTCGGGTCTAAAGCCTGCCTGCCTGGTTTTCTTGGGCTTGCTGTTCGCTAGACCGACTTCGGCGGTTGATGATTTTAGTACCTAGAATCTTAGACATTATGTTCGTCAGGCTGATTCGTCTACGGTTATCACAAGAGGACTTCTCACCTTTCTTGAAGACTGGGATAATCAGTGATTGAGACCAATCAGAGATCATATTTTACTCCGATACACTAGTTAATACTTCAGTTAACTTGACTTGAATCACTCCATCATCGTCCTTATATACCTCAGGAACTAGTTCGTCTGGACCTGCTGCCCTTACCCGTTTCAAGTTACCTACTGCTTTCTTGACTTCCGCTAGTTTTGAAGGGTCTATCTCAATGTTCCATTCAAGATGCAACTAGATAGCGGGCAACCCAATAGTAGCTGAAGATCAGTTGAATTGTTCCTCGAAGTGTTGCACCTATCATTCCAGTCGTCTCTCTTGTGAGTGTATCGCAGACCCATACTTCGCTATAATCTCACTAATTGTTGAACTTTCCCCCCTAGTTTCTGTAATACGTCTGAATAATCCTATGGTGTTACCTATCACTGCTGCCTTTTCCATAGCTTTGGCTTTCACTGATCACCGCTGTTTGTGGTCGTTGCGTAAACGTTTTCTCTACCTACTTTTAAGTTGCAGTCTCTCTTCATTGTACTCAGAGCTTGCAGGGATGAGTTCATGTGCATCCATTAGTTCAGAAGAAGCTGATATCCTTGAAACTATTCTGTGTTCGATTCATCATCCCAGCTAATTAGCACTAATCAAAAAAGTGTAAAATAATGCAGTTGATGAACAGAGAAAGAGAGAGAGAGACTTACAAACTTGGCGGTTTTACATTTTCTTTAAGATAATCAACAACATATGAAAATTCTTCAACTGTATATTCCCTTTTCATTGCATCTAATACAGCGTCTGAACCTGTTTGATGAAGAAATTTTAAAACAAAAGGAATTTGGTAACGCATAAATTCATACTGACTGTCGAAAAGAAGTAGAAAAAATGGACCATTGGATTCTAACAATCATGAGTGGATACTCCTGAGGAGTCTCATACTAGGACGAAATAGGTGTCCAGTGCTCCTAAATTTTCAATGTTTTTCTTAACACTCATGTCAGTTCAAAATGAATATCAACCTGAAATCAATAAAGAAGTTCTTATTGACCCTAGGCTGTACGCTTGTTAGCATTCATTAAGAAACGTGAAGTAACTGAGGCTTCTTGAGATATTGGAGTTGGCATCACGACATAGGAGTTACAACTGCATTATTCAGCCCTAGATTAGCTTCATAAACAGGACTAGAACAGTTACAGTGATAACAAACAATGCCAATTTGTATGTTACTAAGCAGTGACCTAGTGATGCGGCAAATTAATTACGTAAGTCAAGATACCATTGCATAGAATTCAATTTAAAAACTTTTGAAAGCGATCAGTATATAGTTCTACCTGATCTAGGTTTCACATTTGCAAGGACTCAACAGTAAAGTGTATTATCTATAACCTCAACTGGGAATGATGCTAAGTGGGGAATCGGTTAATGAGTTAGCCAACATTGAAGTCAGAGGACCTGAACAATTGGCCAGCGACGAATCAATGCACTAAAGCATGCAGATAGACAAAATCAACGCAGAACTTCATACACACGTGCATTGGTTCAGTTGCCATACTTCACAGTAGTATACAAAGAACAAGTCGATAGAAAAAGACTGATATCAAAGTATACAAAGTAGTAGGAGAAAATAAACAATTTGAAAATAGAGGTTAGTGAGAATATCCAAGGTTTAGAAGATGTCAAGGAGTGAATACATCTGCTCTATTGTGACTGATTTTCAGTTATTTCATCATTTCCTATCGTCTCTGGGACTCCAGCCAGGTAGTCTGCACCTCCAGAGACTTCCTGTACTGGTGCCACGTCTTGGTTTGGCCACCCTTAATCCTCTTCTAGACTAATTCAACTTCCACTCGCATTGTACGCCGAGATAGGTGGTGGTTCGGCATGCGAAGTACATGTCCAAGCCACCTTAGGTGATGAAAGTCCAAAACTCCATCGACTGACCTACCTTCCTTGTCTAGTACCTTTCGACTGACCTCAACATTGCTCACACGTTGATTACACAAGACATAAGGAATGGCTGAGAAGATACGTGTAGTTAGAAACCTGTAACCGCTTCATATTCAAACAAGTAGTTGCTGGTACATTTTCTAGACAGGAGATTTAAGTGTATAGATACTGAAAACTTCATCTGTTTGAAATCTCATTTCTTCCAATATTTTTCTGCTGTTAGGATCATGTAATTACCATCGAATAACTACTGATAATACGGCAGATAACGTTATAGTTTCTCCGTAAACCCGAAGTTAAAAAACTGTTTTCAAATAAACATTTCATATATCCAAAGTGAAAAACGCTCGAAAAAAACAGTTTCCAAACTGGCAAACGAAATAAAACAGTACGGTACCAACAGGCTGTTAAGTATGCACTCATAAAGCGATATTCTACATTACCACATCAATTTGGAAGCCTAAAAGACGCGAGTACAATCAAAATGATAACCTTAACAGTAAATATTGTTGATTTACTGTGTAAGACATCTAAGAAACAAAGCAAATTGGTTGGAATGGCAATCTAACACTATACCAAAGTTTTACTTCTATATTAACCTTGGTATATGTAACATATGTCCCAACCCATCTCAGATGATGAAGGTTCACAACCTCGTCAGCTGACTTACCTCTGCTCCCTAAAAGTCTACGCCTGACGTCTGCATTACCCACGTGGTGACACCATGGAATAAGGCCTATACTACGAAGGTAACGGTGGTCAGACACCTGAAGTTTTCTCATGTCTCCCACCTTCAATGGCCATGTTCCACAGCTATACAGTAGAACAGAGAGGATTGCTGTGCAGTACACGCGACCCTTAATAGACAATCGGATATCACTGCGGTGATACAGGTGGCATAAGTTTAGACCCTTCAGTCATCCATTTTAGACATTTTAAAGAATTCAAATGAGACGGCTACACTCCGATGCATAAACGGATTAATGTTGAAGGCATTCACTGATGGGTTGTTGCTATGTATTTATTAGTTTAGTCACCGTTAATTTTTCACTACTCTGATATCACCTCAGTAGACAATGAGTATTGAGAAGTAGAAGGTAGTTGGATGTACAAGTGACATATCTCCCCATCGGTCCAGTTGATGAAGGTTTACAACCTCATCACCACTACACACCCATCCTCTTTACCTAATACTATACAACAAACCTCAATGGTGGTCACATCATGGTTCCAGCACACATCTCATAGTTATGTAACAGACAGATAGGTAGGTTGTATTGCACAAACAAATCATTAATTTCAATAAAAATCACAAGAATTAAAATATTGAAAAGCGTGTCAACTTACCAGACTGTACAGGAATATGAATAAACGAATATACTCTCGGATGAGATAAGACTTCAGCGATTTCAACTAACTGATCAAGTATATACGGTGGATTTGTCATTCCTAAGCGTAGCATACATCCAGACGGTATAAGTGGAACTAGACCAGCTAGTAAATCAGCAAGTGTAATAAAATGAGGCCATTTTTTAGAAAGTGTTGGACACACTAGTGATGAATTAATTCTATCTAAATCACGTCCATAAGCGCCAAGATCTTCTGATGTAAGCCACAATTCCTTGACACCTTCTAAAAGTGAAGTAAGAAATACTTTGAATAATAACAGTAATAATGGAACAGAGATTCACAACAGGTGAACAGGCTGATCAATGTTCAGTCTTGTGCAACAATGTATCAATATCTCTGGAAAACTCATAGCATGGAAACTACATAAAACACTGATATAAGTAAAGAAACAAAAGATGAAACATCAAGAAATTAGAATATGAAAATAATGTTTAGAATTTGTCAGTCGAAAAAAAGTTGATTGCTCTTTCGTTCATGTCAGTTTTTGATATATCACGGTTAGATATACAATGGTTTCGACTATTTTTAGGCCTCTTCAATCAATCTGGTTCAATTGACTTTCCTTGAAACTTAAAAACAATACGATTGGTTGTGAAAGGCTTCAGGGATTTAGGTTTTTTTTTTTCCATGAAGATCTAAGCAGCCTTATCTCATGATATAACAGTTCTTTAATCAGCATAGTGTACTACTTTTTCAAACGAAAAACTGCTTGTTACTTATACAACCTAGTTTCATATTTCAGTCTGTGAAATCATGTGATTCCCACCCTCCTCTGCTGTAACTAACACTGACTACAACTTCTTTCACATTGATTCTATTTCACTTAATATATAATGTCTTAAAGTGGTTGAATCCATGTAGGCCAATAACTAAATCGCTTGAAACCAAGTGAAAGAAACAACTGACAGTCATATCTAAGAAAAGAGTGTACTGGTATGCTGTATACTATACTTACAGTAGATAATATACATATGAATGTATAAAATGGTATATGAAATGCAGGTGAGCAAACATCATCCAACTAACGAAAATGAAAACACCCTAAGAATTATTCATCAGTCAGTTAAAGAGAAATAATACAACCATCAAAAGAAGTAGTCAAGAAAATCATACATCAAAACAGTTGATGCTTATCAATGGTATAACCATGCTATATTATATGAGCCAATAAATACTTCTACACTGGGGTTACATGATAGTGAGTGCCAGTATCAGGTTCCAATGTATGTGAACATATCTCAAATAGAAAGGTGCAGCAGCATGCTATATTCAACCAAGGTAGAATGGATAATTTCAAGCAAAAATAACTACAGACTAGACAGAAAACTGTGAGAAGCGATAACATCAATGGATAAAGCTTGATTAAAACATTCAATACTTCGAAAATCCTAAAGGGGGTATAATATCTCAATGCCACATTGACCGACATTCAGCCATGTCATCAAGAGGCTTTAACTACCGATTCCTGTTGCCTCAGGAACCTCAGTCAATTAGTCGACACCTTCCTACATGGATCACACCAACAAGCAGAAACCTTATTTATATGTTGATGCAACGTATTCGTCTGGTCACTCTGAACCGTCTTCCAATAAAATTCTACTTCAGTTAATAATGAACGTCGAGGTAGGCAGTGGCTGGCTTAGCTTAAGCAACACATGTTCATGATTATAGAAGAGATTTTTGTTCTTAAACATAATACAACTACTATCATAAGTAATGAAACAGATGGTGAACAATCGACGTAAACACTGTAGCCTAGATGTTCTTGCAACAACAGAAGTTGATTCCATGTAAATCAGTATTCATCATCCTTAGACATAATCAAGCGAAAATTTCAATGTCGCAGGGGTAGAAAAAAGTATAGAGACAAGAGTGATAGACATTCATGAAAATATCTCAGTAAGAAGACTAGAGCAATGTCAGGATTGTAGCAGTTTACGGAGTTAGTTTATGCATGCTATAAACTGACCACATGTATGAATATATATCTAAATTTCCTCAACAGCTACATACAAGTTGGTGTAGTAGGCAGTGTCCTATACCTATCGTGTAAAGGTAAGTGAAACATTCCTGTTACAAAAAGCTCAAGAGAAGATGAACAGTTCGAACCAGCAGGACACCGATTCAAAGTAGAGTGTCTAACAGCAAAAAAGTCATAGTTTCACAATCCAGCTACCAATAGAAAAAGCTAAAAACATCAAGGCTACTAACTGAATGAAAAGCATACAGGTTTCAGACATATTGCTTATCATTTGGGGTAAAATGATATGACATTAAGTTATATTGATCTTGGTGACTAGCAGAGGAATTCAGGACGGGCGTCTCGTCCTACTTGGGACTCGATATTAATGCCGTAAGGACTGTAAGTATGGTATGTGCTTTGCATCATAAAGTGCAAAGTAACTTTGAAAGATTGACAGGATTCTGTGCCTGCGCTCACCCTTGGTGATGAGCCATTGGAAGTAGTCGAAAAGTTCATGTATCTGGATATTTGTGTGACTACTGGTGGATGTGGGAGTGGTGAAATTTTCAACCGCATATCGAAAGCCAGAGTAGCATACGTCAGTCTGAGCCATCTCTGGCGACGTCACGACGTTAGTCTGACCGTAAAACATCGGGTTTACAATGATTCGATGAGAGCAGTTCTGTTCTACAACTATGAAATCTGGTCTCTCCGAGTTGAGGATATGCGATGACTCTGCGTGTTTAATCATATTTGTCTCTGTAGGATTGCTCATATCCTGTGACAACATCATGTAAGTAATTCTGATGTACGACAGCGTGTGTTTGGGCATGATGGAGATCATCACGCAATAAGTGAAGTCTTTTGGAAACATCGGCTCCGGCGCTTGGACATGTGTTAGGCATGTTATCCCAACAGCTTCCACGCCGTTCGTTGTTTGCTGGACGAAGTGGAGGAGTGGTCAGTGTATGATGTGGCGCCGTGGGATGAAGGTTAGTTGTATCGGGTTAACATCTGTTGGTGCATCACGACTCCCTGAGTGGGGTCCGAGAGATCATGCAACTCAGTGGCTTGAGACGTTATCATATATGAGTCAGAATCGAAACCAGTGGCGGTCATGATGTAGTTCCCTCCTATCTGCTGCTGCTGAGAAATAATGAACGTTTCGTTTCGAATGTACCTTACTGGAATGCCCTTCTAGTCATTCTACTCCTACTATGTTTTATTTTTATGCACTCCCCTTCGCTTTATATCTTCATAGTGTTGTTATATTATTTTGTGTGGCTCACTTCTTGGTGTCCCTGCTGTACCACGTTTGCGTTCTTATAATAATAATAATAATAATAATAATAATAATAATAATAATAATAATAATTAATAATAATAATAATAATAATAATAGTAATAATAATAATAATATAAGGACCGACTGCTTTTAGGTAAAAGGTAACGTAGGGTTAACAAAGTCTGATCACTAATGGTCACGATTTTGCGTTAGATGCTACGAACCCCTAAACGAGTGGAGCTGTGGAGTAGTGACTTAGGGAGATGACTATCAACCAGTGGAAGCGGGTTCGAACCTCGCTCCACCTGCTAAGGTCTAGGCAGCCAGGGAGTAAGTATACTTAGCCCTCACATAATAATTGTAGCTCACTGCACCGATGTGCGTAAATTCGCTTAGTGCGTTTGTTTTCTTCGTTCATTCGTTCCCCTACTCGACCTGGGTTCTATGCTTGTTAGTACTCAACCAGAAAGACTAGTGCACCCACTGTGACTCGAACCTGAATCACTACTCAGTGCTGAATTCATGACTAAGTCTTCCCTATAGAACTGGAATAAGTATATGAATCGATCACCAGTCAGCGTAACTATTAGTGCTCAAAGTTGACCAAACTGTAAACTTAATTGATAGATACAGATCAGCAATGATCACTAGGAAATAGATAGCTAAATCAGTTACCCATTAAGTGACAGATTAAAGTATCGTAATCCAGTGTTTGCAGATGAATGAACATATGTCGATTACAGTATTTTTTTTGTTCTTGTTTCAATCAGAAAAGATTAATGGGAGGGCGTATATTTGAAGAGTTAACTGAAGAAATGAAGGTATCTATAATAAACAGAAGGTAGGAAAGAGGTCTTTATCTCCTGGTAACTCTTCGTTATTTACTGACCATACATATAAGAAGTTTACTCAGTTTGACCTTGTGGACAGTTGGTCCCCAATCATAGAGATGTAGTTCATTTGTTTAGGCGTTCGACCTCTAAACAATGAATCTCTGGTTCGAATCTCGCGTCACCTACTTCTGCCTGGTTAACTAGGTAGTACCATAAAGCTTCACACAGTAAGTATGGCTAATCACCTACTAGGATAGAATAGAGTAAAGCAATAAGACAACTTGTGCACATCCATGCAGCAGGCAATAAGCCACACCTGTTATGTGAAGGATAATGATACTACTTGGCTGCCCAAACCTTGGTAGGTGAAGCGGGGCTCGAACCCGTGACCCATCTCCCTAAAATCACTGAATTATACCTTCACATCTACTCTACAAGGGTGTACGTAGTCGCTGAGTATAATTTTTTCATATATTATACATAATGACATTTATAAAATATCTTAGATAATGAAAATATGAAGAAGAAAAGTATTAAACAAACCTTTAAATGCTTGTTTAGCACGATCTAATAATTGTTCAATAGGATAACTGGCTAATACACCACGAGCTTGTTTTGTTTTACAATAAGTGCATGCATTCAAGCAACCAGTACTAATGGCAAGAATTTCAATTAGTGGATTACGTCGTATCTTTGGTAGATCTAAAGCAGCACCAGCACTAATTACAATATCATCTTTTGTTGAATTAATCAATTGAGATGATGATGATGATATCCATTTCTTATCTAAAAAGCGTACAACATTACCTAAGAAAGAGGGGAAGGGAATAAATAAACTTGAGAATTATGTTAGATAGTTGAAGGTAACCGGTGGAAGATTCTCTGATTCAACTTTACGCTTATATGATACATATCAATCATGTGCAATTTCATGTATCCAGCAATGAAACAAGACAACAACTAGTAATAATATTATCTAACTGTATAAATTTTGTTAGGTGGAACAAGGTTCAAACCTATGACCATTTGGTTGAAAGTTAAAAGTTTCGACTGATAGTTTTATGAAGTCCAGTTTAATTAACCTGCCTAATAATTAAACTTAGAAAAAAAACAAACGTGATTGATAAATTTCTATTAGAACCTACGACTGAACAATGTACATTATGTCACCAGCTGAAATCTCTTAGAAAGTCCAATCATACTTTCGAGGTGGTTACTGAGTCTCATCAAGAAGCAGAACAATTAAGTTGAAAGGAGCTGGCTATTAACCGGCTATCTTAACAACGAATAACATACACTATGATAGGTATGCATAATGTAAACATAAATTCATTTTGTACACATAAAGGCATCAATGCATCAAGTCTCTGACTGTTGGTTTGAGCCATATGGGGCAATGCAGACTAGGTGGTTGGGGTCTGCAGGACAAGAGGAACTAGTGATTGGAGACTCTAGGTGATCACATGGCTCAGAACCGATGTCAGTGGCACAGATGTATACACACATTATCCTCATCTTAACATTACGCCAATTTTCACCATTTTCTCATTCTTCGTTCCTTTCTTCTCGTACTTTATATTTGTTTCGACTGAATTTTCTTATCTTCATCTTTCATCTAACTACCTTTCTACTTAATGTACTGATATGAGGTGTGGCAACTCGGACCGTTACGCAGTAATGCCTGGGTCCTATGTTAATATTGATGATGATGACACATAAAGGTGGTTTCAATTTGTGGACGGCTATTGTTCCCGAAAATCTCAGTTTGTGTCCTTGACGGTTTCTATATAAAACGTTGAAAGCTATTTGAACATGATATTTGTGACTCTTCTCCATGATATGCTTCACTATAGATGATGAGGACTGTCTCCCACCAAACCTTAACAAACTTTTACACTCTAACAGCTTTTAAAGCCAATTGAGTGCATATCCTCCCACCTTCAACCGTATGGTTTGATTAATCCTCCCTCTGTATGTTTGACCAGACACACATGTAAATTGGTAAACACAATAGGATATGATGTAATCATTGGTGCAGTGTTTAGGTTTATGGTGAAACGTGCGTTTTGTTTTTTCCATGATAATGATAAGCTTATCTGGATGATGGTAGCCTATGTCTCTAAATAATACTATTCAACTCGCCTCTGTGTAGTAGAGTGATATGAACACTAGTCTTAGCAACCGTGTATAGAGTTGGCTTCGATGCTAACTGACTTCTGCAACAGTTTATAAACTTCAACGGATATCCATTTTCCATAAATGTTTTGATCAGTAGTTTGATATCTTCATCCATCGTATCTGATGTACAGATACGATAGATTCTATTAAAAGAACATTTTATTAGACCTTGCTTGGACCATGGATTGGACAAAAACTGAAATTTCAGGTATTGTCCTGTTCATGTAGCCTTTCTGTAAGCTGACCAGTTCGAAACAAGTTCTGTATGTTTTCATAGTGAGATACTTTTCAACTTGTTGACTGTCTTAGTGACATGAATACTAAAAACAAGACTATGTACTCTTTCGATGTAAATTCTTTATTTACTTACTTGCCATTGTCCAAGATTATTACCATTCTATGTAACTCTATATCTTCTAGAAACCTCCCAGTTCATATTACTCCAACTTTTCTGAGGAGACTATTATTGGTGTGTACCGACAACGTTCATTTCAGATTTGAAAGTGAACACTTTCGACAAATTGACGGTGTAGCGCTATGGGTAGTCCTTTAGGACCATTACTAGCTGATATTTATGTCATATATCGAAAATCTGGCTGGTAATCTCATTGTTAAAGTTTCTTTTAACAACAGACATGTTGATGACATCATAGTGATTTAGGAGAGGCATGAAGATACGATTTGTTCACTAAAAAAACTTAACACCGTACAAACTCACATCAGCCTGAAAAACAGAATAATAATCATCTACCATTCTTAGATGAACTGTGTCGACAAGATGGTTCAATAAGACGATCAGTTTACAGAAAACCTAAATGGACATGACAGTATGACCGATTGTGAAATCGTACTCTTGCAGTAGTAACATTCAACGTGATAATTTTCCTCTGGGGTCTCTCGCTGTCATTAACCACTGTATGGGTTCATGATCAGTTTTAATATGGTATCGTCGACGAGGAAGTATGATTTCCATTTACCAAGCGTCCAAATTATTGCCAGACATACCTTCCCAACCGCTGAACACTTCTGTTCTTCAGGTGACAGGAGATGGCTGACGCACCCCACTACTCTGTCAGTCTATTTCAGAACTGCGCCTATTCTATAATAACTTGCATGGGTGGATATAATGAATGGCCTCCCGGGTATTGGTAGCTTTAAAGTCATCTCCTGGTCATTTAAGAGTACTTTGATGTGATCAAACGTTTCCTGTGTCACCTCTGTCCACTTAAACTTAGGGTTACCAAGTAACTTGCATAAAAGTGTTGCTATCTCGTTGACATTTTTGAGGAACCGATTGTAAAATGCTGCTCTACCCAAGAACTGTCACAATTTTCTCTTTGAGTTCGGCACTGAAATGCTTTCAACCGTCAAAACTTTCTCAGGTGATGGTTTTATTTCGCCGTTTCCAACTTTATGTCCTAGTAACGTAACACTTTTTGGCTACCTGAGATTTTGTCTTATTGATGCGAAGTTCAAACTCTTCAATGAGCCTTAAAATAGCTTCCGTGTGTTTTAGATGTTCAGCTTCCGTCTGAGTGTACACCACCATGTCACCGCTATACACCTCCACATCCTTTGAATTCTTCAGCAACAACATCATAAACCGTCTAAGAGCAAATGATGTGCCTGCAAGACCAAATGCCATTCATTTGAATTGGTATTGCTTCTTGTCCAAAAATGCTGTTTACTCTCTATCGCATTCTTTTATTGGTAGATGCCAGTAACCTGATCGCAGGTCTAGGGACTGTAAATAATTTTGTCATGCTGCAAACGACCCAGTGTTTCAGCTACTATCGGCATGGCAAATGGCTTCAGTTGCATTATGGTATTCAACTCTCAGAAATCTAAACACAATCAATATTTCCCATTAGACTTTCTTATTACAAGCACTGGAGAACTATATGGTCTATCAGCCTCCTCAATAATGTCTTCATTTAGCATTTCCTGAACCTGGCGCCCAACTTCTAAGTGACATGGTATTCACCGTGTTATAAATGTTGTCATTCCTCGATTTGTCACTGGAATTTCATGCTCAACCGTGTCACAGTATCCATAGGGATCTCCATCTCCCATGAATAGTCTGTCGTATTTCTTGACCAACTTCATGATGTTTGGCGCTTCTGGGTGTGGTGCTGTTGATACCTCACCTCAACCTCCGATACCTCGCTGTTTTCATGTATGTTAAAAGACCCGTACTTTGTCACTACTATTCCTGTTCTCGTGTTAATAACTGCACTCATTTCTCTCAAGAAACCAGCACCTAGGATTGTCCGTTGTAGACGTGTGGTCACGATGAATGGAAATCTAATTTTCCCACTTCCGATGTCGACGATACAATCTGAAAAACCTGTAATTTCTAAGGGACGTCAACCAACTACGTGAGCCGTTAGAAGTAAGGAGTAAGGTTAAAATACCAAGCGATTAATTGATCCTAGAAAAGACTTTGCTATTTACTAGCTGAAATTCGCTTAAAACACAAGATTCACTGGTTTAAACATATCGTAAACATACTACTACAGAGACTTTCATCATATCATCTTACCAGTTTTGAAACTGGTTGGGAAAAGTTGGGAAAGGTGGCAACTGTGGAATCATTGAAAATAATATGAGGAGAACGCTAACCTTGTCAAACTTGTCTTCGCAAGCAAAATTACGACCGGAACAGGTTGGCTTCAGGAAGAAGAAATCATGTGCGGACCAAATTGCAACGCGACGCTACGCATCATCATAGAACAGAGCATAGAATGGCAGTGAACTGGATGTTCAACTTAACTTCATCGACTATGAAAAGGCCTTCGATAGCGTCGACTGAGAATAATTTGGCAGGCTGCTGCTTCAACACTACGGAACACGATAAACCTTTATCAACCTTATTCAACAACTATATGAAGACACCACATGCCAAGTAATTCACAATGGGAAGCTCAGTGATGCCTTTGAAGTGAAGACAGGAGTAAGACAAGGCTGTCTATAACACCCATGATCCTTCTGATTGTGGTCACTGGAACATGCAACAAACTGTGAGGAGCCAGAAGAGGGCATACGCTAGCTGGACCAATGAAAAGACCCCAGAAGAAGATTTGGATTTCGCCGATGATGATTTATGTCTAATGTCGCACAAACTCGAAGATCTACAAGCGAAAACTTACAAGTTTGCAGAAGAGGCGAGGCAGCGAAGACGGGACTTCGGGTGAATATAGATAAGATAGAGGTGACGAAGACACCTAACCAACACAACAACAACAACAAGAAGCACCAATCACCATAAACAGGAAAAATCTAAAGGAAGTTGCCCTTTCCACCTACCTAGGCAGGATCGTTTTAACTATAGGTGGCGGCACAGATCAGGAGGTCAAAACCATGATCGGAAACGCAAGACAGGCCTTGATTAACCTGAAGTCAGTGTAGACATTTACTGCACTCAGTATAAAGAACAATATACGGGTTTTCAACACTAAGTCAGTCAAGTCAGTGCTTCTATATGATTCAGAAACTTGGCGTGTCACGAAAGGCATTTCCAACAAACTACAAACATTCATCAACAGCTGTCGCTTACCCTCACTCGATACTGAAGGTCAGATGGCCAGAAATAATAAGCAACAAGGAACTCCGGCTGGCAACGAACCAACGAAGCAGGAACCCATCGCCCAACAAATATGTAGAAGAAAGTGGAGGTGGATTGGGCATACACTGAGAGGACCATTCGGGGACATCACGCACCAGGCCAGGCCCTCGATCGGAACCAGATAGGAAACAACGAGTTGAGCGTCGAGGGTGACATGGAAGAGATGGTGTGAGGAAGAAGTGAAAGTTTCTGGGCAGTCGTGGAACCAGGTTCAAAATACTGTAGAGAACAGAGCTAAATGGTAACGTGCCACTGAAGCCTTATGTTCCCCTAGGAACCCAAAGGACAAATAATAATAATAATAATAATGATACTAACCTTGTAAAGCTTCTTCGACAACTTCAACAATCCGATCAATCTGATGCACACCAATCACACTGACACCCTAAACAAACATTAATTTAAAGCCAATTTTAATCGTCTGGAGCGAAGTAGATTAAGATTGATAGAAGAATACCAGAGAATAACATATGACTGTTAACAACTATACTGCTTGATGTGCTGACATGAAGTGTGGCAAATGGTACAGTTACGCAGTAGTGCTAGGTTCCACGTTGGTTTTTGTCTGTCTATCTATCTATCTATCTGTCTATCTCTTGACAACTACAACATCACAATCTAATCTAGTTGAAATTGAAGATGTTGACGGGATTACAGGCATTACGAACAACAATATCAAATACTTGGAAGGTACTCAACAAAGCGTATATTATGAAAAAGAATCAATACCAGAGACAAATGTAATAAAAAACCAATATTCTACTCAAGAATGAGAACGAGCAAAAATTCCCTGATATCTCGTAATATGACTGCGTATCTTAATTTTTGCGATGGTGCTAACTGAAATTTATGCTGGACGGTGTTCTTTGATGCTGGCGAGGATGTCTCAAGGAAGAGGAAAAATCCTTACAAGATTGTATTAACTATCAACAATGAAAACATACTTAACACAGTAAACAAAACCAATTCCGTGCACTAGGCAATAAGCCATATCCATCGTGTGAGGTACATGATACCATCGTGCTGCTCGAACTCATGACGCTCCACGTAGAAGCGTAATAGTGTTTCCACCAACATTTAAATCTGGTATCCATCGCTTTAAATGTTCGTGTTATTCACTAGGCTTAGTTGTAGTGCCATCAGTCACTAGGACTGTCTAAATGCACTGAGCAATCACACGCATGACTATGTGGTAGGAAATTAGCCACATCTACTTCATGAGAGCTGATGATACTACTGAGATATCTAGATCTCTGTAGGTGAATCGCGCTTCCACAACAAGTTATCTGTTAGTTGGAGTTCCAGTCTTTAAACTGGTGAGTCAGAGCTTCAGCCAGCTGAAAACATTATTGAGATAACCCCACAAAGCTACCTGAATGTTAAAGGGGGCTGTTAGTCATTGGTTTAAGCAGCTGACTTTCAACCAGTGGGTCGCAGGTTAGAACCCCTATCCACATACCAAGGTTTAGGCAGCCAGGTAGTAGAACTACTAGCCCTCATACAATAGGTGTATGGTGGACTGCCTACTGCACGAATCTGTACAAGATTTCCGGGTGTGTTTCGATTTCATATGCTAAAATCAATTAAAGACTACAAAGTCCCTATGGTTGAGCTACTTATTGTTTATATATCATGATTAAAATACCATTAATGAAGTTAGTTTTAATTTCAGCATTATAACAATCGTCATTTGAAAACGGTACTGAAGATCATAGAATGTAAGCGACTTAGCACCAAACGATGAATAGTGTTGTAATTACACTAATGTGTATGATTCTTTTTGTCTGAAAACTTTCCAGCTTCAACTATGAAAGTCTCGGACAGAACGAACTACCAAGTTCTGACAGTATTGATAGGATCATGGTAAAAAGTGATATTCACATAAATAATCAGACAATCCCACTATTCTCCTCACCTTCACGTTTGACATATCTTACCCATCAATCTAGATATGCCTGATCCCGTAGGTATGACTTAGCAGTGAAAAGTATTCAAAAAGCGTTTGCGTATACACAGACAGAAAACTTCCAATAAGATAGACTTTAGCCCAGGGACTGTAATACATAAAGTAAGGTGATTGGAAACAATCGGCTGCCAACCCTGAACTAATACTATACGACTTGAATAGACCAATGGTAATGTTTCTGGTCATATTAATTGGTGATGTAGGTTCGCATCTCCTAGAGCCGTATCAAACCCCCTTAGAATTATAGATACGCCTCCTGATGACTGCCTAAAATATGAACTTAGGTCCAACGCTTTTAACTACCTGGCATTCACTAAAGTCCATTGCAATGGTCAATCTTTAGTAGTTTAGAGATCATGTTCGAAAGTTGATCGCTTTAAGTTAGTCAGCATAAAATTGGCTTCACTTTAGTTACGAATCAGTGAACAGGATAATGATGACTTTTAATACTACAATTTAAAGATCCAAATGAATCTGTAGTGAAGAAAACGTTCAATTAGAAAATTTGAGAAAAACAGGGAGATATTTATTGGTACGCGTTGGCGTTCGAAACGATGGATACTAGGTTCGAGTCTCAGTAGGAAGACCATCACATTCACTGAGATGAAGTCACAACCGACTGAAGATTCCTAAACAGGAGGAAACGCATATTTTAGGCTCAACCACTATCCGCCAAAAGTAAACCATAACCAGAAGACAAATTAAACATACAGTTAGTTTCATAGTACCATTCACTGAAACTAACCTTGAGATAGTCTGCACCAGGTCGACTTTGTGGTACACAACCAGCAGCAACTACACGTTTACCTAGTTTAATTCCTTCTAGTACAGCATTTCGAAAGTGATCTTCAGCTGGACCTTTAACTGTACAACTGTTTAACACCCAAACATGTGCTTTCTTTTTAGCCTCAAAATCTGAATTGATAGTTTTGGGTTTATCAATACTATTTTGTTGTGAACAGCATTGATCATTCGTGTTTTGACATTCATTACACGTTGAACCAGAGGTAGCAATGGAGTTGTTAAAGTCAATAGAATCATCTGTTTGGCATCCATTTGTGTTTGTGAACCACCAAGTGTCACTTGATATCCATACTTGGCAAGTAATCCAGTCATATATTCACTGTCACTTGTATTGTGTGCACATCCCCATGTTTGTACGAAAACTCGAAATCTTTCTGTAGACAAAAAGACAATATTTGCATAATATTGCAAAATTACCAAGTATATAAGGAAGTGTATGCGTAACTTGGCCAAGATCCTCAATATACGGACACTTATGACGAGACATTTTAAATAGCATGATTAGAGAATAATTCCATAACCGCATTTCTCCAAGTCTTAAACGCCTTATTACTCTGACTTGACATATTCTCTCACTACTTATGTCCCCCTTGTTTATGCTAACGTTTTTCCATCTATGTCGAATATCTCTTCCTGAGTTGCTACATGATGACATAAGCTGAAACAATTCAGTCTTGTACAAAACTTTGACTTGTCAGTCAACACTGTTCGTCTCCTTCCTCTGTGGTTGACACAAACATTGCATGACGGTTCACTAATTCATTTTACCATACTTACTAAACATTAGCATATTGATACAAAAAGATAACAAGAAGGAGGACAATGAGACCAACGTAACATAAGGAAGAATTACCGACAGTTGTAAAGAGCGATTAGCCAAGAGGAAAAAAGAGATATGAGGATATTCACATAAAAGCGTAAAATTGGAACATATGTGTACCCTAAGCGACCTGTATTTGGTCATAGCATCTTAATTTTTCGGCCATCGACTTCACAGTTATCTCAACCACTTCATCTAGGAAGCTGAATACACTTAATAATAAGGCTTAGATACCAATAGCCAGATACTTTATGGATTAATGTCGTGCCTCGGTTTTGTAATCTTCAACATCAATTTTACTTTATTGTGATTTGAAATCAACACTGAGGGAAACAAAGAACTAGATGTAAGGAAGACAGTTGGATTCAATAAAATCACTCGATGACAGATTCGACATATTTTACACAAAAATCAGAATTAGGATAATAATAAAAAAGAAAATGACTAGATAGCGATAAAGTATCCAATGTTAGGTGAAACATTTGTGCAATAGGCGTTGAGCCACACCTATTGTGTGAAGATCGATGGGTGATACTACCTAGCTGCCTGACTAAACCTTGATAAGTGCAGCGATTTTCGAACCCATCACCCACTGATTGAAAGTCAATTCTCTAGTCTAACGAGGCACAACTCCGGTGAAGATCTCAGATGTATATAAGTGACTAATTCAGTTCCTTAAGGTGAAAACATAAGACCTTTTTCATCGCTAATCTACACTACGATATATACAGGTTCACATAGTGATCGCTTGCAGATGTCACAAAATAGGCGGTTCTGTCAATAAATGAAAGATATTATCAACCATAACAGTATACGTGCAGTCTTTTTGCTGGAAAAATGATTTCCCCTACCCTGTTAGGCAGGAAAACTCATAATATATCTAAAACAAAGTTTATCAAACAAACTATAAAAAAAACCTATGGTGATTAAGGTTTCGCTGTCACTTATACCTATAAATTTGTAAAATTCACAGTATATGTTGAAAGATTTGCAGTGATAAATCCTAAGAAAGTATAAAATAATGTAGGTCAACCCGGTATACGGCTATATACTAGGCTATAAGCTGCATTAATTGTGTGAGGGTTTATGGTCCTATCCGGTTGCCAAAGTGATGCGGGATTTGAATCCAAGACTAACTTCTCGGAAGTCTAGTGGCAATAAGCAACGTATTTTTAACCAAAAGTAGTAGGCGAACACTTTAGATATCATACGCATCGAGTCTACGGGCTCTGACTTACAGTGCTGTTATGAAGGTATTCCATTTTACTTAAAGAATTTAACATACTGAAGCTACAAAAATGTAATGCATTTTTAAGTGTATTGTGTAGAATTCTTATTAGCGATCTGGTTATGAGTTTTTTAATTTCACCAATCTAAATCCTTCCTTAAGCAAAATATTTACCAAGCTATGTAACGATCCTATCAATTATTAAATGTTTAGAAACCCACTTACAGTTACCATTTGGTATCAGTCGACAACTCCACGTGTTCCTGTATCCTCGTTAATAAGATATATCTCCAGTGTGAGAATTAACAATCCTATCTAGTTCTTTAAGTTCCAACAGATGAAGTAGGAATAAAAGCAAATAACTAGTGATTGAAAGTCAACTTTACGAACAGACTAACAAAGATTGCATTCAAAAACAGGCCATCTTGTATTGTACTTTTAGTTTCGATTACCATATACTAATCCATACAGATGGATTGAAATCATCTGGAACACTAGTCCTAAGAACTTAAAAGTCATAAGATGACAAACAGATAGATAAACGAAATCAACGTAGAACCTTGTACACATGTGAATCGGCACAAGCTTCCACACTTCACAGAAGTATGCAAAGAATAGAACGGGTAGAATAGAAAAAGGCTGATATCAAAGTAGACAAAGTTTTATGAGAGAATAAACAATTTGAAGATAAGAGATATTGAAAATATTCAGGCTTTAGATGTCATGGGGTGAAACAACTGAACCATTGTGATCGATTTCCGGGCATGTCACTGAGAGTTCACAATCACTGGTTTCTTTCATCCCAGGGACCCCATTCAGGTATTCTACACCTTCCCACATGGCTCAGACCAAGAATCACAGAATTCTTCTACTGGTGTCAGGTCTCAGTTTGGAAAACCGTAAACCCTCTTCTAACCTAAACCAACTTCCCCTAGTATGCCACTTCAAGGTGGGCGGTTATTAGATGCATCGAAGTCGGAGCCGAAATGCAGTCAGCAACCCTATGCAGATTCGGGCAGTAGGCGATAAGCCACATACCTATGGCTTGCGGTGTAATGACACTACCGCCCGGCTGACTGCATAAACCTCGGTAGGTGGATCGGTGTTCGAACCTGTGGCCCATAGATTGAAAGTCAACTGCCTAAACCAATGAGCCAAGATGCATACATGCTTCCAAACTAATTTCTACAACGATAAACAGGTTATATTTGAGTACCACAAGGATAAAAAGCAGAGGAAAACAGTATTTATGACGTAATTAGACAGTGACTGGTGAAAGCTGCTAGAATATGAATGAAAGACAGTGTCGATAGAGTGGGAATGATAACAGCTGGATACCTTATTTTGCCTTAGAACATAAAAAAACATGAAGGAAAATCATCTCGACAGAGAGGAAAGAAACAAAGTGAACAAACTTACCGGGTAAATTACTACTCAAACTCACATCTTCAAGTAAGTTCTGTTGTTTATTTTTAAATCTTGCCTTGACTAATACAGCGGACTCTGTTTCTGGTCTCTCATGTTCAGCGGATAAGTCTTCAATATCCATTCGATTGTAAAACAAAAATGTGTGCTACACAGAGAAGTATGTAAAAATCTGAAATATAATTGACAGAAGTAAGTGGTAATCAAACTACTAGTTATATATATATATATATATATATATATATATATATATATATATATATATATATATATATATATATATATATATATATATATATATGTTTTGAGTAGCATGATTATAGATCGAGTTTTCTGTGCTGCAGTTTTCTCTCTTATACTGTACGGCCGTGAAACACGGACACTAAAGGTAGAGGATATGAAAGGCTTCAGGTGTTTGATCACCATTGCCTTCATAGCATAGGCCGTGTATTGTGGTCCCACTAAGTTAGTAACACAGAAGTCAGGTGTAGATTGTTAGAGAGGAGAGGAAAGCCAGTTGACGTGGTTGCAAACTTTCATCGACTGAGATGGCTGGGACATACATAACTCATGCGTAGTTTCATAATGTTAGCTAAAGTAGGTTCAGGCTGGAAAACGTCGCGGGGTTGTTGCATTGAGCAATGTAGAGAGATGCAGACTAACCTGTTGGGGTCCATGCGACAAAAGAAATCAGTGATTAGAGACTCTAGGTGACACGGCTCGAATTAATTTCAAGGGCGCTGATTTATCTACATATTATCTGCATCTTTTTCATCATACTTAGTTTCAGCATCCTCATATTTCTCCATCCTCTCTTTTCCTACTTTCTACCGTTTTTGACCAACTTCTCTCTATTTTTTATCTTTGATCTTATTACTTTGTTACCCTTTTGTGCTGATGAGGTGTGGCAACTTGGACCGTTACACAAAAATACTTGGTCCTATGTTGATGATAAGAGAAGCACGGGTATCAGCCACAACCAATATGATAGAGACACAATGAGAAAGCAGTAAAAAGCAGCTGTCCAGAAAAGAATCGCTACATTTGCGTTACTTACCAATGATAGGAAACACAAGAGAACCACCCAGTAATCGCTGATGGCTTAAATACTGATCCGTGTCTGATAACATCTTGGGACTTTCAGTTGCATAATCTGACGGATCTCAGCCTAGGGAGTCATTATGTTCAAGTAGATAACTGGCACAATACAACCCCCATAAAAATGAACATGAAAAAAGAATATCCTTCATAATAAATTCTCCTCAGGTTCCACAGACATCAAACGAAATTGTTTGTTACAACGAAATTTACCTTCACAGAAGATACATTTGTAGAGGTGAATATAAATTCGGAATTTTTAACAGCTCAATTTAAGTTTATCAATGTTGGTATGCATACTGAATGTGTTGGGAAAATGAATTTGCTTGTCAAATGAATGATAAATAATCATAATAAATGTAGACAAATTGTGAAAAGGAGAAATTCGCAAAGCTGTTGAAAGTTGTAGCATGTTAAATGAATAGAGAAAAAACCGAGATGCACTCAGCAACCCTGTACACATTCATGCAGTAGGCAATGAGCCACAGACCTATTGAGTGAGGGCTAATGATACTACTGCCCGGCCACCTGCCCAAACCTCGGTAGTTGGAGCGGGTTTCGAACCCGTGACCCATCAGTTGAAAGTCATTTCTCCCTAAACCAATGAACCACAGTTCCACGTATTTAATGAGACTACGCAATGCAGAAAACAAAACGGATTCAGTGAGTGACGGCGGAAACAATGCAATGTTCATTATAACATGGTCAGTGCGTAACATGGCATGACAATGAGAGCAATAATAACAGTTATGATGAGATGGTTAATCTTAGTTTAAGTATGCATAGATTCGACAACAACTACAAAAAAGAGTTTTTAAGAGTTGTTAGGAAATGGATGAAAACCATAGAATTAAAAGAAAGAACACTAACAGGAAAAGTGAGGATGAGGAAGTTAATTTTACTCCTCTCCTGGTCTTATGGGCATGTTTCACATGCGATTGTGGACGTATTAACTAGACGTTTGATCTTTTCAAGATCCTAGAATACATACATACTTTGTTTCACGAAGTTGATCATATTGTTTGGTCTTCTTTTTTACCAAGTATATGCCGATAAAGTCTCCCAATCTGATGTAACGTCCAAGAATAAACCTCGAAGCTCCGAGAACACCGAATAATTGCCATTGTCAACGTAAGCCACAAGTCTCCTGAAAATCTTAAAAGACAGTGAAAGTATGTTTAGGATGGTCTTGTTATCTTCGATATGCATACCATGGCTTCAAAATTGGTCCGTATTGATACCACATCTGACAACAGGAAGAGTAGCTCAGAGCATTTACGCCATTTGGTTAGAAAGCAGCATCAATCCGAACTGGTCACAGATAAAAAATTTGGCAGTTACAAGAGGTTCGATTATTTTCCACCAAACTACGCTAGTTTTGTCACTAGTAAAGTGTCTGAATGCTCATATGAATTGACTATACTGTACAAAGGTGCATTCTATCCTATGATTGGAACACGGTCTTTAGAGACAGACCGTTTGAGGTGTGACAGTACCTGTCGTGTCGTCCACTTATGATGGAGCTATAACATGAATAATTCGTAGAATGATTGCAGTTACACGAAGGATGGAAGTCAGTTGAAAAGTTTGTGAAATACCAGAAATTGAAGTAGCTAGGCTATGGGTAAATCATACCGAGAAACTACCTACTTCGATAAGCAGTTTTGACTGAATTAGAGTGACGTTTAAAGAAAACTGAAGGTGATCACAAATCGTACCAACCCATGACGAATTTGACTTATTCTGAGCAATGTGTGGAATTGTATACTTCCTGGTTGAAGATTTTAGTTTTTAAAAAATCAATTATTGAAACTCGACGAAGCGGGTAGCACTTAAACTGACTGTCAAAATATTTCACTCAAGTTCAGATCTCCACAGTAATACTATTTACAGAAGACAATATAAGTCCTTGGAGATTTAAGAATACAATGAGTATATTTACAAGGCAACTATCCACGACATCATGTCATCACAAGGGATTTTCAATTTGTCACTAGCTAAACATGAAAGCTTTGATGAAATTCTTGCTTTACGTAAATATGTTTTGCACAAAATGTATACGAACGTATAGCCAAACTACGTCGCTGAAAGTTTACAGAATCTCCTACTTGATTAGTAGTTCAGAAGTCTAAATGGGTAGTATCCAAAAGTTGTGCCTTCCTTGAAATCGATAAGCGGATGGGTTTTTTGGCTGGTTGGCGAAAGCTTTCGGAATTCTTGTCATTTCCACTAAATGTAGAGAATTAGTAAGATTTACAGTTATTAGGGTGAAAAATGAGTACTTTCAATGAGTGAGTTGCCACCGTGGATATTATAAATAGTTGCAGTCAAAACACTAAGACAGACTAACAGGATCTGCAAACTGGGTCCCAAAGCCAATGAAATAGTCTTCAATGTTAATATATTATTAATTAAGTCTGCAGACAACTAAAAAGCTAGAGGGTATTTTCTTTTTTAGTTCCAGCGCTGAAGAAAACCGATATGAAGTTAATCGTCAAGGTTAGGAAATAAGATTTGGGGTCATGATTTAGTGCCAGAATGAACACCCGAGTCTTAAATCCTCAGTATGACTCCTTTATTCCTGATCTTCTGGACCTCAGGGAACGTAAATCAGAAAATAACTGAAAGAATTGACAACTGGAGTACAATACTTTTCCGATTTTTTGCAAGTATACTTCTAGGTAATAAAGCCCAACCGGTATCGTTAGAATTGACTATTTCGGACGGCATCGCAAATAAATCCTAAAACCGCGATCAAATCAACTTAGCGTGTACCTGAGTTTCTCCCATCGTGTAGTCAAGGTCTGGAACTCCTTACCTCAGCAAGTGGTATCAGCACCTTCTATAAACGGGTTCAAGGATAAACCAAATCTTTACAGAGATATCTTCTGCAAGGATTAACGAAGGCCAACTATCCTTATAACTGAAGACTTATTATATTTGGGTTTAGAACAGTACTTCAAATTAATAAGAGTATATTTACCGATAAAATGATAACAAGGAGTTATGTGCGTTGTTGAATGTTCCGAAAGAACACCGTAACCGACTTACGAACACAAAATGTCGTACATAACCAACCTGTAGTGACCTTGAGAGTACCTTGCAAGGATATAATTCCCGCTGATTCTGGAGGCAAATGTATTTCCTATTGGCCGTTTTAATCCAACTAATATCATCTCTCTTATGTCCCGGTATTTTAGAGCCTTTGCTATCCTCCAGATAACTATGATGCGATTGACTACCTGCTGCAGTACTGGAAAATTCAGAGGTAGTATTTATGTTTTTTTTACCTTGTCATTAGGCTATTGTTCGATCTATGAGAGTTGCGCTGCTCCACTTCTCATGTCTCCAGACGGTCACTTAAGTGGGTCGGAAAAGTAGATAAAAAAGATTTCTTAAAGAATGCAAAGTAATGAAACCACTTGGACATAGCTTTTCCAACTTTAATCAAGCTTTATCACTTGTTATTGCCCAACGTACAGGATTCATCCCACTGATCAGCTGCTGAACATCATCTTCTCAGTAACGGAGGGCTAAAACTTCACTTCTAGCTTCAACGGAACCGACCAAAGACAACTTTGAACGTCACCCTGTTTACCAGGGGTCTGAAGTATTGTCAACATCGACCAAAATGGTTTCAAACAGTTGTTATTTGATTACAGAATGATAGGGGCCTATGCCGGTGCAAGTTTATTTATTCGCCGCGGTCTAATCAAAGAAGACTATCTTGTTTTTTACCACACCGAAGGAAATTCAGATATTTTTATATTGTGTTCCCTGTGAAGGATAGTCTAATCGTGGAGCTTTCATTGTCATTCTAGAGAACATCGTTGGCAGTGCAAACTTCAGAAAGAGATGGGGTGTGTGATTTCTTCCACAATTTACTTCGTAGCTTCTGTGATGGCCCTATATGTGACCGGTTGTTCTGAAGTTCTCGTCTTTATCTCCGCATTTATTCCGATAGTTGTCCTGGTGACCTGAAATTTGTCTTATTGTTCCTCCTCATTGACTGATGCATTGGGTCAGCGTCAGTTTGTCTGTTGATTACTGTCTAACCTGAATGTCAGGCTGCTAAAAATTTTCTGGCATTCTTCGTATTTCCTCTGTCAAGGATTTCCCAATTTTTCCAGTCATATTCATATCCAAAGTGGCCCGTATGTATTTATTCGAATGAGGATTTGTTATGACGTCTCACTCCTAGTTGATGTTCATGTAGACAGATTTGAACATTGGGGTGTTAGACAGTCCAATTTGAAGACTAGTAGTTAGTTCTGGGTAATGGCCGCCGGTGTAAACCTCACAGAATTCTTCGAACCATGACCAATTCAAGTACGCTGACCCTCATGTGAGTAGTGGGCCACTGTCAGAAGTGACAAAGACTTTCGTCATGCCAATGACCAGTACTCAGAGTTTGACTGGGCTGGATACTCTTCGGGAAGCTCTTATGTACACTGGAAGTCTTAAATGATGGCAACGAGTGGGGATTGAGATTACCTTAGGTGAAGATGCATGTAATTTATATATAAACTTATTCATACCTGTAAAAATGGTGTGTGCCTGTATATTCGGAAATAAACAATGTTATTATTTCTATTATTATCGGTTGACGGTTGACAGTTAAGGCAGAGCAATAACTTCTTCACCCCCGCGGACGATTAAAGCATTACCTTGAGATGAGGAGTTCCTTCATGGCTAACGGGTATTTCTTACAGACAAAGCGTACTCACACAAATGAAGAGCATATCCCGCTCATGCCACTTGAAAGGGTGGTTGTTGCTGATGCTGTGATCACAACACACCAGAGCACTAAGCCAAGCTTAGAAGTAGCTTCATGGACTTCTAGCATTTATGGGGTGCAAGTTGATCCTCGTTAAGTGGTTTGTTCCTGCGTTTTCTTACCCACAGTCCTCAGTGGGTAAATGCCAATATCAGTGGAAGATGTTTTTGCATTCTCAAGCTATCTGGTGGCTATCTGCTTCAGACTGCTCATCAATCCGGCAATTCATTACGTATTGTTGGCGGACTTTTCAGCATAATTATTTGTGGTAACACTGGTGTAAATCGTGACAACCATCTGACCTGTGGCACCCAGAAAGCCTCCGGAAACCCATGGAATGTACAGAAGTCAAAGTTGGGTTTATCCAAAGCACTTAGCAAACTGAACTAAACCATCTGTATCAGTAATGTGCAACGCAATCTTCACATTGTACTAGTAGATCTCCGTCATGGCTACTTCATATGTACTGGCTGCGGAAGGGACTCCCAACGGCTTAATCGTCTCTTCTCAAGGATGAATTAAACCCAACACATGACGACATCCCCCTAGTTTCTTGTAATTTCTCGAAATTTTACCTTTGAGAGCTTCGAACTTTCTGTCGGGTGAATGCTAAGAGGGTGGCCTCAACCGACAGCCCCGTCTATGGCAAAACGCAGTCTGTTATTTGAAATTAAGGGGTTGATATTGCTTTGAAGAGCTTTAGAAAGTTTGTTGGAAGTTAAGGATCTTTAGTTTTGGTGACCTTAGCATGTTTGAATCAGGGAATTGGCCAAACTTCTGTTTCATTCCTGAACGCCTTCCTTATTGAAGAATAAGTGGTTATCAATGGGTGCGTAACGGCTGCACTCGTGGATTCGTCTGAGTCAGTGCACTATAATTGTCCGCGCCAGTAAGTTGAAGTGAAAAGTAAATCATCTAGAAATCGACATGAGAAAGGAAGCGCGGAAGTAGAGTACAAACAATAAGTGATTAACCCTGATTTTTGATATCTACTTCTACAACTTTGCAAAACTCTAACAACTTCTCACAAGTCTTGGTCAAGTGACAGACAGTCACCAAACGTAGAGCACTTCATCAAGCTTAACTTACTGTACAGCTGTCTGACCCCCGAGTAGCGTTGCTAATCGGATACGGTTTAATTTTCCGCTAGTTAATTATCGTGTGCTTCTGCGCCTACAGTCACTGAGTTCCATTTAGATATTTATTGGTCTTGCTGGATATATTAGGACGAAACGTCACGCAGTGCATTTAATTAATTGCGATATCAATCGTGATATCATTCAGGGCAGAGTTCAACAATCCCTGCTTCCGAAAATTCCCAGGAGGGTATATGGTCTTCCTTGGATTTGCAGTATATGAGTTTGGAAGGGGCAAAGTTTCTCCGGTCAACCTTGCTTGGAAAGGTGTCAGGAGGCATCAGCTTGTTGGAGTTCCATGTACTTCATAAGTGCATCCACGGGGTAAACAACCTGAGTAGCTGGTGGTCTCTAAAGAGTCAAAGTTGTTATGCAAGGTGCTCAGATAGGTGTGGCCGCCTCCTGAAGACTTTTCGGACAAAGTTCAGAGCAAAATATTAAAAGCATCGTGGATCCTAGCCTATCAGTATGAAAATCCTTTCTACGTTTTACACCACAAATAATGCATAGCGGCTTTCGCGGGTTCAATTTTAACATGTTTACTATCAAGTACAGGCCTGCTGGCAGCAGCCACCATCCTTTTTCACTTAAGGCGTGATAAGTTCGGAATTTTTGCCTGCCAAACGTCGACGCAAAGCATCAACTTAGTGGCCACATTCTTGACCCCGTTCAGTGGCATTTCGTCCGACACGAGTGAGTACGATCAGCAATTCGGAACGACTTCGCAGGGCCACCGATCTTA